ATCAAAGGACCCAGCAAGGTGTGCTGAAGGCTGAAACAGCAAGAAAAGAGTAACATGAAGGGTAAATAGAGAAAGGATGTGATTCTTGTTGGTTCAGTCCAGTAAAGCTTCCTGGCAGAGGCAACATGAATATTCAGTCTGTGTTCTCTAATGTAGATTTTTCTGCCCATGGGCTAGGTAGGCGGCAGTGTGCTTGGAAACTTGTTCCAGTTTAAGCTGTTGCTGGAGCAGAGTGAGAATGGGGACTGTCTTCACCGGAGATCAGGATCTTTCCGGCCTCTGGACGGCTTCCCCAACTGTGTGGTGACTAGTGGCGTTGTCAACTTCTTCCTGGCCCACACGGAACGACTCCGAAGAGTTGGCTTTGACCCCCGCCTGCAACGAGTGGCTCATTCAGGTGGGGAGGCTGGAGGAGGGAGGAAAGGAGCTGGGCTATAAATTGACCTCAGAAGTTTATTCTTTCAAGGGCCATGCTCCACTGATCGTGGTCACTGGCTGGCACCACTGGGTTTCCTTCTCCTTTCACTCCAGATTAGGGAGTGTATGGTCTCTCTCGCCTCCCTCTTCACCATCTCTTTGACTTCTTATCTCCCACAGACTATTCCTGAGACATCCTTCCCCTTCCTTTCCCCTCCTTCTTTTCCCACCTTGCTTCTTATTCTCATTTTCTAGAAATCCTTTCTAGAAAATTGCAGCGGGTTAACTGCCCCCTCTCTCTCCCTTCTGAGTCCCTCAGTCCTGGAATCCACAGTTCTTTCCAGCTGGAAAGTTAATCTGTGTCTCTCTGTCTCTCTACCCATATCTCTGTCTGAGAAACGAGCTTATTTATTTCCTTCCAACTCACCAGCATGGGCCTGTGGCTGAACCTCCTAAGGAATATAAATTATGTCCCCTCCTCCTGACTCTCCCCCAGACCTAGAATATGGTCCTGGGTCTCAGGCTGAAGCTCACATTTCCTTCTCGTGCTTTCCCTCTCTTGGCAGAGTTCTTTATTGATGGGCTTGGGAGTCTGCTCGTGGGGTCATGTTCAGACGTGATTATAGGTCACCAGAACCATTCTCTACTGGCGGATTTGAAGCTGGCTGCCCCAGAGAAGAACTACAGTAAATACCGGGCCAACACGCATGCCCAAGTCCAGTTCAAGCTAGCTCTCCACTACTTCAAGAACCATCTCCAATGTTCCACATAAAGGCACCTGGACATCAGAAAAGCACTAGGCTGACTGGTTGCTGGTATCTGGAACAGTGGAACATGTGGTCAAGCTACCAAAAAATAGACTCCTGAAAAAATGAACATTACAATAAACCACCTAGTGGGTTGGGCAAATGGGTCAAGCTCAGCTATTGGAAAGACCAGTGGAAAGCTAAAGGACATTAGAAATATACCAATCACCGATCAGAGCAACGGAGCCCATATTAAAAACAATCATTATTTATTTGTATGATTCCTTACCATTTATGAAGAATCTGCACATAAAGTGTCTTACATCATTTCCTTAGTTCTCACATGAAAGAGTATATAATGGGTTGGTATCCTCAGTCAGATAATGGTGGGTTGCTGGGTCCTTGAGGGTTATTTGGTGGCACTTGATGCTGGAGATGATCACTGTTGTCCACAAATTTTTATTTGGTTCTAGCTTGTGGACTCAGTGTGAATAACCCAGGGTCCTTGACTTGAGGAGGTTGCAGCCTGGTTCATTTCAGTCTACTAGGATCATTGGGCAGCCAGGGTCAAAGAATCAGAGAAGGGAGAAGTCACTATGGCCTGGGCAGCTGAGGAAGGCTCTGTGGAGTGAGCTCATTTGGAGCCTCAGAAGGCAGATGGGAGTCAGGCAGTCAGAGGGAGGGAACAGAGCACTGGGTAGTCCACTGTCTGCCAGAACAACGGTTGTCCTGGCTCACTTGCTACCACAAAGACACTTTCCGGAATGCCAGGGATTGGATTTGGACCTTATGCCAAGGTGCCATGAAAAGCAATGTAAGTTCAGCAGCAAGCCACTGAATTCCAGTGACGTGAGACCAGTTACTGACTACTCAAGACCCACGTCATCAACAGAAAAGAACTATCACATGTTGTTGAGGAAAGTTCTGTTATCTTAGGAATCCACAGGTTCTACAACGATTGGTCTAGTCCTGCCTTTAC